GCTACTAAGGGAGCTGTGGTGGATTAGTGTTAGTGAGTTGCACAGCTAACCAAGAGGCATTGGTTCAGATCCACCAGCTGTTCAGGGGGAGAAAGATGGACAGTCTCCAGCCACACAGTTCACTACCTCTGGAAATGCACTGGCGGGTCAGCTATGAGTCTGTTCCAATTCAACAGTACAAAGCAGTAACAACCTGCTCCTTGGGAGAAAGATGGGCAGTCTCTTCTCATGGGATTTAGAGCCTCAGAAAACCTACTAGAGAGTTAGCTATGAATCAGTTACAACTCAACAGCAGTGAGTTGGAATTTTTTTAGCCATTGATTAATGTAATTAATTAGTTAATTACAATGTCTAATCAAACTTGGACTCAATAAACTGTCAACATAAAGAAATTATGTTAATTATAGAACAGAGTTTAGGTCTTCTGTTCATAGGGTCCCCATGAGTTGTATTCGACTTGATGACACTAAATCACTGCTAAATGAGAGTACTGTTGCTATATTTTGGAGGAACATTCTTCTACTTTGTACATTACTCTTTGCCAATTTGCTGTACTTAGGTAATCTGGTTTTGTTGTGACGCTGAACCTTGTGCCAGTGGGGTGTGAAATAACTCTGTTGGTTTTCCCATGTGGACAGTGTTTGGTTGAGCTTCCAGTTGTGTAAAACAGGTTTGAAAGCAGGAGTGGAGTGGCATCCAATTCCTAAACCACATGCCTATAGAAACTCTATAAACTTGGAAAAACAACTATAGTTATAGAAAGGTATTAGTCTTTGGTTCATGGAGTCGCTCTTGATTCGATGGCAATCAGCAACAAAAACAACGACAATCAGACTTCAGGGAACTCTGATGTGGTAAGAAGCTGCAGTGCAATCTCAAAGGCACACAGTTTGACTCTACCAGCAGCTTTCCTGGTGAAGGGAGAAGGATAAGCGATTTACTGCCTCTGAAAACCTGATAAAGAGCCATCTCTGAGTTAGTTCTGACTCTGTGGTACCCAACAACAACAATCAAACTTCATATCCCCTACTTTGGTCATTTTGTTAGGAGGTATGTTTCCTGGAAATAAACACACTTAGAAAGGTGGAAAGTCAGAAAAAGAAAAGAAAACCTTCAATGAAATGGATTGACACTGTGACTTTAACCATGGGCTCAAGTATGTCAGAGATGATGAGGATGGCACAGGATAGGGCAGAGTTCAGAGCCATTGTTCATAGGCTGTGAGTTACCCTTGGAGAGGGACATGATTGGAAAGGTAGAGGTTAAGCCAAGGAGAGGAAAACTACCAGTCAAATGGGTTGACACAGCTGCTGGTGCAGTGAGTTTGGGTATATCTGAAATAATGAGGATGGCACAGGATAGGACAGAGTTTAGATCTGTTCATAGGGTCACTATGAGTTGTAAGTGACTAGATGGCATCTAAGAAAAACAATCCCTTGTTAGGGTTTGCCTTTCCCTTCATCCAGCTTATCTGTTTATACATTTTTAATCTCTTCATCCCTTCTCATCCCTCTTATCTTTCCAAGGTTGATTCAGTCTCTGTGTAAAGCTTCCCTTAGCTTTTTATAATAGTGTTTTTGTGTGGTCATTGTCTCTTTTGTAACTGACTTATGTCATTGAAGAGTTTGTTCTAGATTCATCTATGTTTTGCAGTATTTAATGGGTTTCTGGCTTGTTTTTAGTGATGCATAATACTCCATGTATGAATGTACAATTTAGCCATTTGTCTCTTGGCTTGTTGCCAACTCTTTGCTATTCTAAATAATACTACAGTGAATGTTTCTGGTTTTATATACCATTGAGTCAGAATTTACTCATAGCTGACCCTCCATCAGGTTTTCAGAGGCATTAAATCACACTGGAGGAGATTGCCCATATTTCTCTCATGAAGCAACTGGTGGATTTGAACCATATGCCTAGGGTTTAGCAGTACAACTCCTTACCACAAACCTACCAGAGCTTCCTATAGTGAACATAGACATGTGTATGTTCGTTTGTGTCTTAAGGCTGTAAATCTTAAAGAGAGGGAAACTGCTCAACATTTTCTGCTGGAACCACTAGTTGATTGAAACTGCCTATCTTTTTTGCCTAGCAACCCAACTCAGGACAGATTATGCTACCCTAAATCCTAGTGGAACCTTGGTAGAAGCTGAATTTTAAAAATAATGTCATATCCTACCTTTTTTAAAAAGAATAAAATTTAAATTTTTAAATTATTTTTTTTGTGTGTACCATCAAATCAGTTCTGACTGGTACAGGAGGAGAGTGTCTCCCTTTCTCCAGCAGAGCCTCTGGTGGATTTGAACCATGCACCTCTGGGATTGCAGTGCAGCTTCTTGCCACCAGACTACCAGAGCTTGCCATATTCTATCTTTTATAGAGTTCTGTACATTTATTAAAGAAGCTGTGGTGGCCACAGTATTCCATAGGGAGCTACACTGCTAATTCAGAAACCACTTTCTGGCAGTTCGAAGTCATTAGCAGCTCTGTGGGAGGAAGGTGGACAATCTCCTCCAAGGCAGTTTACAGCCAGTGAATTGGTTTTGATTGACTGGTGCCTTTGAGAGTTTATTTTAAGGTAACTCAGACAAGTCATTGCTGTTGATTGAGAACTGACTCACATCTGACGCTCTAGGAGGTTTTCAGAGGTTATAAATCACACAGGAATGTGATTTCTTCCATGGAGTGGTTGGTGGGTTTGAACCACCTCACTTTGGGTTGGCAAGACAACTCTTTACTCACTGGGCAACCAGATGGCATAAGGTTACTAATCTAAAATAATGATTACTGTGTGTAACTTTGTTGTTGTTATTATTGTGTGCTGTTGAGTCAGACGCCATAGCTGAACTGCCAGTAGGTTTTCAGAGGCAATTAATTGCACAGGAGATTGCCCATCCTTCTCTCAAGGAGCAGCTGATAGACTCAAACTATGTGCCTTTGGGATTGCAGCGCAGCTTCTTACCACTAGGTCACCAGAGCTCCCTCTTGTGTGTTATTTAGTAGTTTCCATTTTGTTGCCTAAATCGGTAAAGGGAAGTCTGTCTACCTTACTGTCTCATGGTGAAGGATAAATATCAAGACACTAGTTCAGAATAATGCTTGACATCAGGCCACTGTAACAGAGTCCTCTGGTAGCAAGTCTTTAGATAATTTTGGAAAAGGATTGAAGTAGGAAGGCATAAAGATGGGTTGCTTGATTTTATTTATTTTTTTTTAATTTTGTTGTATAGACTATGTACAGAAGTATGTATGGATCGTAAGTAGGTAGCTTGATAATTTTCAAAAAATGAGCACACTTAGGTGTCCAGCCCCCAGATGGTTATTTTTTTAAAGGCATTACCAACACCCCAGAGAATTTCCTTTGTGTCCCTTCCCAGTCATTATCCCCATCTATACTCACATGTACACATTGCTTTGACTTCTAACATCATGCATTCTTTTATAAACTTTCTAGTAAAGAGTTGTACTGCCAACCCCAAGACACATGGTTTGATTTCACCGGCTGCTCTGTGAGAGAAAAATGGACATTCTCTTCGCATGTGATTTACTGCCTCTGAAAAGCCTGGTGTAGAGTCATTCGGTGTTACACAACAACACATACATGGTATTAAAATTCTGTATCTCATGTCTGGCTTTTTTATTGAGCTTTATTCTTAGATTTATCTCCATTTTAGTGTAAGTTGGTAATTCTCATTCCTTGTAGAGCAGAGTTTGAACAACAGCAATAATTATGGTGCGGTTTGTTTATTTTAGAATTTCAAAATATATTTCCCATTTTGAGCATCATTTAAAAAAATCCTGTAAGCATTCTGAAAATATTCTTTATGTCAGAGCTAGAGATGTAATAAACAGCCATTTGACCAGGTTACATTAACTTACAAGGAGTATGCTATATGTGGATGGTATAAATATGGGGCTCCGTGTACAAACAGTATCCACAAGGCTCAGAGTCTTTGGCAACATTGATTCACAGAGTGAATCCCCGACCCCAGTGACCCCCGACCCCAGTGACCCCAGGCCCACGGCCTTTTTGATGCCTTGTGTTCAGCACCAGACCAGAGTTCCTGAGCTAGTTGCAGGTGTGGGTAGGGACATCTGTGGGAGGGGAAGAATACTTATGTTTTGGGCTATAAATTCTTTGTTATAGGGAACTGTCCTGTGTGTCTTAGTGTCTGTAGCAGCATCTCTAACCTCAGTTTATTAGACACCAGTACACCCAAGCACACAAAATTGTGGCAATCAGAAATGTTTCCAAACATCCCCACATGTCTCTTGGGGAAGCACACCTGGGATTGCCCAGTTGAAAACCCCTGCTGTATAGTAGTTCACTGACTGCATATACCTAGTCTTGTTGATAGAGAATAGAATTATTCCTAGTTTGGAGCTAATCTGAATATTTATGCAAGGAACATTCTGTAATTGGTTTTTTAAATGAATCTATCTGTAGTTGACACACTGGCTGCAACAGTGGGCTTAGAGAGCAAAGAATGTAAGGATGGTGCAGGACCAGGTTGTATTCCGCGCTGTTGTATATAGTGTCCCTGAAATCTGAACCAGTTTTCTCGACACCTAACAAAATCAGCTTTCATCACATTCACATTTCTGTTTGTAAGTAGGAGCAGAATTTTAGGGAACACACATGTCTGCCTTAGTAGATATGCCAGATTCCTAAATTGGTTATATCAAGAATAGCTGTTTAGTATTCATTGAGCATTATGCTAAGTGCCAAGGGAATACCATATACTGGTGAACAAAGAAAAAGCCTGACCTTCTGGACATTTACATTTTGTTACTAGGGAGATGGACACAGATGTATAAATTAGTGTTAATCCTAAGAATTTTAAAAATTACGATTGAAACAGTTTTGCCTAATTAAATAAAGAAGTCAACCTAGGTTTTTGGTATGTGCTTTGATCAGAGGATATGAAAGGATTTACACAACCGTATAGCAGTACTGTGTATCAGGCTAAGCCGTTTAGTATTTTTATTTTAACTTGTAGGCTGTTGAAAATCCCACCGCTACAGAGATTCAGGATGTATGTGTAGCAGTTGGACTTAATGCATTTCTTGAGGTATGGTATAGTTCTTCATTAATTTACACAGTAATCTCATTTGATGTAATAACTTTCTTGAACAAAGCTTGTTCTTATTTTGTTTTTATATTAGAAAACCAAAATGTACTCTAGAGAGTGGAATCGAGACATGCAGTATAGGGGTAGAGTCCGGGTGCAGCTCAAGCAGGAAGATGGCAGCCTCTGTCTTGTACAGTTTCCATCACGTAAGTTCTTTTAAATAAACAAATGGAGTTCTGGGTTAAGTTATTCTTTTCTAATAAAAAAAACAGGCTCTAAAATGAGCCTTTGGAAAGACAAAAATTAAAATTTTTTCATGTATGGGTTTTGTTACTATTGCATGGTGGTTATATGCCATCAAGCCAGTGGATTTTTGAGGCAGTTAATTGCAGGGGAAGAGATTGCCCATCGTTTTCTGTGGAAAGCTGGTGGATTGGAACTGTGTACTTTAGCTTCTTATCACTGAGCCACCAAAGCTCCCTAACTACTAGGTAGAGAGGTAAATAACAGTTTTAACTTCATTTAGGTTAAGAATTTCTTGATGAATATGATGATTTCTTGGTGAATATTAATCATTTCTCAAAATAATTTTATGTAAAAGCCCATCAGTGGTTAAGAGCGTAAAAGAAATCATTAAATGTTTGAATGTTAATTTTCTTTTCAAATAGTGGAGACCCTGAAATATGTTAATAATAATCTCTAGCTTTAAGATCTAGTGATTTAGTGGTAAGAAGTGGTGCTGCAATCCCAGAGACACAGTGCGAATCTGCCAGCTGCTCTCCAGAAGATGGGCAATCTCCTCTTGAGTTATTGGCTGTTTCTGAAAACCTGCTGAAAGCCTAACTTTGAGTCAGTTCTCGGTTCCAGTTTGACAATACTTAACAAGAAGCTTTAATCTGAAAAGCAATTTTGGGTGAAAAAGCAAAAGCAAGTAAAATATTTTGTATAATACCACTTCTTACTCATTTAGTTAGTAATTTTTTTTTCTTGGCATAGTAAGCCCAAACAGACAATTGCAGTGTTTTCAACTGAATTAACATGGCTTAGTTTTTCTATAGCAGAACCTGTCAGGATTGGGTGATATTATTATTAGAAATTTAGGTTGTGACTCAGGGAATAGCAGTCATCACTTTCTTGTCTTTTAAAAAAACTCTTATAAATGAAATAATATAAAATGTATTGTTTTTTTCTTTTAT